GAAACTTTTCCGTCTTGACAACCCCATTCTCAGATACGCCGAAAAATCGAGGGCCCAACTCCTTGATGCAGTCCACTTGGACACCCTCGGTGATGAGGGTAAGCCCGTCATCGCCCAGCATCATCTTCAGTTCTTCGTCAACAACACCTGACGCACGGTACGAACTCGAGTTGGGATGGCGCCATAGCATTCCCGCCAATCTCTTGCTGCTCCAGTCCGGGACCCAAGATAGTTGCAGATTGTGATTGCGATGGAAGCCAACGCCTGCTAGATGAAGAATGCGAGAGGGGTGCTCTTTTGATAGTAAATATTCGGCCGTCCTCAAGAACGGGCGCTCGATTGCCGAGTTGTAATCGGGCATGATGTCGCCAGTTTCCGCAGCCGCGCTGATTCCTTGCACCGCAAATATATTGTCTCGAGCATCTGTAGCAGTCGAGTTGATACTGGAGATCAGGAGATCAAAGAGCTGTGTGGAGTGGTTGGCCTGAATGATTTCGCGGAGACGGCCAAGAGACGCAATCTGTACTCCGGCATCCATGGGAAGCGGATCGAGGCTCCTCCAGTAGATTTTCGATATGTGCCATACATGGTTCGGGTCGCCGGTGAAGAGGGTCGTCATCAAGGATGAAAAGTAGTCCCAGGTGATGAGTTCCCCTCCGTACGATATAATCACCTTTTTCGACACGGCAATCTCCTGAATCACCCAGCACCTAGCCCAATAGTCATGATTGACAAGCCGAGTGAGCGCAGTCCATCCGGGGCTCTCAATGTTCAATTCCATGAGCGACATGGCTTGTCGTCTGGTGGTCTCGTCAGAGTCTATGCGGCGACGGAGATGGGAGAGAAACCATACGGCGTCGTTGGCGTCGGGACCATGACCAAGCCATATCACAGTGTGGTATGAAGATCCATATATCTTCCTCATCAACTGAACCTGGGAGCTTTTTTCCTCATTGTCTTGTTGGTTAATACAAATCGAGTCTATCCATATATGCCTCGTCATGAGAAACGAGGCTCTGTCGTGCACGATGTCATAGACTCTGTCAGAGACGTCCAGTCTAGCTCCATCAACGATGAGTCCTTTCCGGGTTTGGCGACTGCCCCAAGTGTACGAAATCGTTTCAAACTCTACCGCCTCGTCTAAACGCACGTGGACCAGTTTGCACTGAACGGGGCTCCACGGCGTCGACTTGGAAAGTCTCAGCAGGCGAATTTCTCCCGGAGCAAGAGCCGAATATGTGTACGTCTTGAGCGTTGTGACACGCGCCGCCGTCTTCCCATCCGTGTAAGAAACCAAAGATGCACTGATTTTCACGAGGAATCGAAGACAATGTCGCACCGCGGTGGCAACAAGTCCTCCAGCCATCCCAAGACCAGTCAAGACTTTGGGCCAGGTAAAATTCCAGATTCTGATCACTTCGCTGTTGAAAGTTTGTACGGGGTTATCGACCATGATCATCCACATGATAGCGGGCACGCATATGAAGGCCAAGATTTGCGACAAGACGGAAAAGCTCCAACAGGCGAAGCTCCAGATAGCTCCTACATTGCGGAACACAAACGACAGCAAAACGTAAAATGACAATTGAGACGCTTCGATAAAGAGCTTCGTAGTAAGGTCATCGTCAGCATCATCGCGGCTGGCGAACCGTCGGAGGGTGAGGGCAGTCGTTCGCCACGACGTTTGCCCGAAGAAGAAGAGATACAGGTGAACGAGAATGAAGATTGTATTGGCAGGAATGTAGTATCCATACAGCCCTATATTGGACAAGACCGAGGCACAGACTTTGGAAAGTATGGTATCTTTTAATGCGACAACACCAGCTTTGAGACCGAGCGCGCTAAAGACGATCAAGGTTCGTATTTTGGGAGGAAGGGCCGTGAGTGCAGCGGCCAACTGATTCGGCGCTGCATTTGGTGATGCCGACATTGTATTTTCGCTGGTGCTACGATTTTCTGCAAAGTTGACTGTAGGGGCTCAGGCGGCCGCCCGAGGTCATATTTATGGCCAGCTATGCCAACATGTCGCTGTGAACGGAGCTGAGTTTCCTTATTGAGGTCGGGGTTAGAAATCGCTTGATGTCGAGTACTACAAGTGCGCCCATTCAGCGGGGCTGAGCTGACTTGCGACAGCCTCACCAATGAATTCCCAAAGGCAGAGTGCTTAAATGGGTAGGTACGCAGTCAGCCTCGCGCGTAATAATGAGAAATCATTGATTCCATGCCGACCTTGCCGGTTTATTTGTACTCCTCCCGGAGCAGGCATGCCGAAGAGCCTGACCTGCGATGACGGCAGGCAGAAAACGAGAAGATAAACTGACGCCACCACCACTCTGCTATAGCAAAAGAGTGCATTGTAAAACTTCAATGGGAATATATGCCCGTCAGCGATTAGGTGGACGAGCCGCTTGACTGACTATAAAATTATTAACCTACATGTAATAAAAAAAAATATTTTAAAAATGGGCTAAATAGTCATGCAAGAACACGAGCAACACCATGACCCTATTAAATTAGCCGTACCAGGCTAAGAAGCCGTAACTAACCGCGTCAAGTAATATACCAAGAGTGTCGAGACCTCGACGCATTATAACACGTCAAACACACTAGCAAGTTAGTCAATTCATCACCGCGCGCGTCTCGCGATAGCCTCAGCTACTAATAACGTCAAGAGAAAATACGGTTTATGCCAGTGACTCACACTGTAAACGTAAACATGGACACACAACGTATATTAACGAGGTCTCGTCCGCATCCCACGAGTCAGTCCTCTCTCTCTCTTCACACGACCCTTTAAAATCGAGATACCCCACGGAAATCGAGAGACTTAATAAGGCAGCGCGGGATGCAGGGAAGAAGGAAGATAAAAGGGGCGCGAAGATCAAGAAGGATACTAAGAAGCTATAATAGCCCCCCTATACTAGATGATTCTCATCGCAGGGGATTTATTATAGCTTCTTAATATATTTTTTTAATCTTGACGCCCCCTTAATCTTTCTTCTTCCCTGCATCCCTCGCCGCCTTATTGAGTCTCCCAATTCCCTTGGGTCCCTCAACTTCAAAGAAGCGTCCCTTTTCATATCAATATTTTTGCTGCTGTCAGCTAACATGAGGTCTCCCCCCGGAGGGTTAAATCTATCACCATCATTAACAGTAACAGCAGGGTCAATAGCAGCAGCAGGGTCAAACTCACTGTCATCAACACGCTCTCACCGCTTTGACTACCCCCTAGGTCAGCATTTCGTTGGCATCAGGGTCTTGTACAGCCGTGTCCCAAGTTTTGAGCTGGACTCCGCCAAATATCCGAACCCTGACTTCATGCAGGCGAACTGCAATAATGCCGTTTTCGGTCCCGTGTGATGACATGGCTTATTGTCCCCGGGAAGCTTCAGTATTCAACTATTCCGCTCTCGGCAATGCCCACCGCTTCAGCAGTGTATTTCCCGGCACATTCGCGGAACTAGACTGGCTGGGTGACTTTCTTTAGACTTGACGAATCTGACGCCCTCGCCCACCGTGAAACCGCCGGCATGGTAGAATTTTTTGAGATGCCAGTCTAAACCGATTGATAATATCGCCTGGTAAAGTTTTGACCAGAGCCCGGGTATGCTCAGGTCAAGGCGTGCCGATTACTTTCCTGATTTTATCACAAGTTAGGTGAACGTGAGACCTTTCCCCTCTCTGAATGGTCAAAAGAGAGATCGTGTCGGGCCAAGTAACAACTGGCTCTCTATTCACCAGTCCGTTTCCATGACTTTTTGTACTGTGTCATAAGGTGTCAGGTTGTCGATTAGCGGGAATAGAACATTTTCTATATCGAGAGGGTTGGCGATAAGCGACCTAATCTCACATAGACCTTGGGGACTAAGCAGACTCTTCGTTAGAACCACATTTTCGATTCCGGTGCTGAGGATACAGAGGGCGCTGCAGAGTCGACTACCGTTGAAGCTTCGTCTTCGCCTTCGCCTCCGCTTGGGATATCTTCCTTGTCATCCTGACCACTATAGAAAAGACGCGAAGCCCATAGAGCTGCTTGCAATTTGTGGTCTCCAATATGTGCTCGTATATTCTTCGGTGACAAAATTTTTCCTTACAGAATGGGCGGAACAGTCCTCAAACTTGCATATGTAAAGCTAGAGATCGCTAGTCACATGTTTCCTGTGATTTTGTCAGAATCGAGCTCGGCTCCCCAATGACAACGGGATAAAGTTTCACCTCCACTCTAAGGTAGTGCCGGGATTAATGTATAAAGAACAGAATAGGCATGGAAACGGTTGATGGGCGACTGGTGAGGGTGGCGGGATTCGTGGCTTCAACAGCTCACTATTCCCTAATGCAAATAAAGTTTCTAATCCAGAATTCGGCTTTATCTCCTGTATCTCCCAGTCTGGCTTTAAATGCCACGAACAAACTTCAATCTCGTGGCTCTCTAGACCTGCAAGTTGCGGCGAGCGAGAAGCGAAATGGCTGGCTGGAAAATAGATTGAAGATGTGATGTAGATACTACTGCTGTTAGAGGGAGGGTAGTGGCGGCATATTGATCGACCATCAGCAGCAGAGATGCGTGATATGGCTTTGAGGATGTCGAGGAAGACTATAATGGTCCGAGACAATTAGACGCCAAGCTTGAGCAAGAGATTCTGTCACAAGATATATAGGGTCAAGTACTAACACGCAAAAGTATGTGGCGTGGCCACGCCCATTTTTTGGTACTACTAGTTACGACATATTCACCAGCCACAACGGTTCCTGGCTCCTTCCCCTTGGCACCCAGCGTGGAAGCCCGGTTGCCGCGCTAGTGGCTGTTCACCGCCACACTTGAGCCACCCGCGGGGTGACTGGTCCGATACAGCGCACAGTCACATCCCACTTTCCAATCCGTCAATCAGACCACCCAATCTCTGACACTTTCCTGTGACTCATGTCACGCCGTGTCTAAAAACGCAGCACTCTTCCGCCATTGACCAAACACTCCTCGCAAGACGCAGAAACCATTCACCATGGCGACCATCTATATTGACGAGGACATTGGCAAGGACGAGCCCACGCAGCAGGGCACCGAGGAGTCTCCCTTCAAGACGCTTCAATTCGCCTATCTCCAACACCCCGCCCAGGCCCAGTACCTGACACGAAAATCTGAGAGCGCCGACGATGAGGCCGCCCGAGAATGGAAGCCTGCAGCCAAGTCTGCCATGAAAAAGGTTGTCAACTACTTTGAGCAACAAAAGAAGAAGGCTGCGCGCGAGCAGGAACTCGCCATCCATCGCAAGAAGGAGGAGGAGGAGCGCCACAAGGTTCTGGAGGAGGCCAAGAAGATTGTTCTCGAGGAGGATCCCAGCCTTCCCAAACCCGTCACCATCAAACTTGATGAGGCTGGTGATCACATTGCGCTTCGCAAGGCCGATGATGCCGAGAGCAAAGGAACCCGAGTCCGCGTGTTCGGCCGCGTCCACCGCGAGAGAAAACAAAAGGATGTTCTGTTTGTCACCCTGCGTGATGGCTATGGCTTCATGCAGGTGGTCATCTCTGGCAAACTTGCCAAGACGTATGAGGCTCTTACCCTTACCCGTGAGACCTCGATGGAGATCTTTGGCGAAATGCGCGAGGTCCCCGCGGGAGCCCGCGCCCCTCTCAACCGAGAACTGCACGCCGACTTTTACAAGATACCCAAGCACTGGAGAGCCGTTGGCGGTGACGATGCCATCACCAACAGAGTCACGGCCTCTACTGAGCATGCCACTCTGCTCGACCTCCGCCACCTTACCCTCCGTGGAGAGAACGCCTCATCGGTCCTTCTTGTCCGCGATGCAATGGAATACGCCTTCAACCGGGCATACCACGAAGCCAGGATCCGCAAGGTCAGCCCTCCTGCGCTGGTACAGACTCAGGTCGAAGGCGGCTCCACGCTCTTCAAGTTTGACTACTACGGAGCCGATGCTTTCCTCACCCAATCCTCTCAGCTGTATCTGGAGACCTGCCTGCCTTCCTTGGGCAGCGTCTACTGTATCGAGAAGTCTTTCCGCGCTGAAAAGTCCCTGACTCGGAGACATTTGTCCGAGTTCACTCACATCGAGGCCGAGCTCGACTTTATCAACTTTGACGACCTTTTGACCCACCTTGAGACCCTCATCTGCCGTGTCCTGGAGCTGGTCCTGGAGGATCCCATGATTGCCGGATACATCAAGACGCTCAACCCCGAATTCAAAGTCCCTGAGCGACCCTTTATGCGCATGAGGTACTCGGATGCTATTAAGTGGCTCATTGACCACGAAATCCCCAACGAAGAGGGCAACCCGCACAACTTTGGTGACGACATTGCCGAGGCCGCTGAGCGCAAGATGACCGACATCATCAACAAGCCCATTTTCATCACCCACTTCCCCGCGCACATCAAAGCCTTCTACATGAAGAGGGACCCTGAGGATGACAGAGTGACTGAGAGTGTCGACTGTCTCATGCCCGGCGTCGGTGAGATTGTGGGTGGTTCCATGAGAATAGACGACTACGACGAGCTGCTTGCCGCGTGCAAGCGCGAGGGCCTCGACCCCGAGCCATACTACTGGTATATCGACCAGCGCAAGTAAGTCGGCCGAAACGATGCGGTTTATCGCGTTGGATTGCACGCACAGTTGCTAACCGCATTGGAACAGATATGGAAGCTCCCCGCACGGCGGTTACGGCGTTGGTCTCGAGCGTCTCCTCGCCTGGCTGTGCAAGCAGCACACTGTTCGAGATTGTTGCCTGTATCCGCGCTACATGGGGCGTTGCAAACCCTAAACATTCGGCACTCCGTGTACGCACTTTGTGTCAACTGCATCTGCCTTGTGTAGCTTTGCTTTGAGAAGGGAAAAAATGGATTCTGCTAGGAGTCATGGCATTGGACTTGGGTCGAAAACAACAGCGACGCCGTTGGCTTTTAATGTTAAACCGTAGCAATAGAGACGCATCAGAGACTTGGGGACGGATGGTAGACGAGCAAACGAATAAAATATCATTGATGGCAAGAGCTACGCGTTGGCATGGCCATGGTGTGTCTCGGTACGTGGAGCTTCGTACTCAACACGGTAAAAACCCAACGTGGCCTGGCTTTTTGGGCACGCGTCAGGTTCACATGATATTCACATGCTTTGTGAGGCAGACATAACGGCTCTCAAGCGCAAGGCAACACTCATGATCCATTCGCAACTTGACAGTTGGAGGCTGGTAACGATGGTCTGGGAGCGCACGAGGCGTAAACACGGTCATGGACTCTTGGTGGGCGGGTGTCCAACACCACAGCCACTGTTGTAGGTTCATCGAACAGGAAATTCTATTACGGGGGCATGATTCATGCGTCATCTATAAAACATGTGCAAATGCTGCCCGGAATATGTAGCGGGGGCTTCTCTTTCCCCCCCGGCAAATCTAGTGCAGACGGCTGAATGATGTTGGTGGACGCCAAATGCACTGACAGAACCCATATGTACAAAGTGGAAGAATTAAAAAAAAAAAAAAAGAGTCAGAAAAATATACAAGCGAAATGGTAAAGTCACCGTTTTCCCCATGCCAATCAAGTTTCATCAGCCACACCCCTTGTCCCCGTTGTCCCCCGCACTCACACCAAAAAGTTGAGCGTCTTGGAAACGCTCGGCACGCCCTTGTCGTTCATGACAAACAGCATATAGTAGCCGGGCAGGACGACGCCCGGGTCGGCAGGCACCTCGGCAGTGTAGCGATTATCGCCGGCGCGGACGAGGGTCAGCGGGACGCGGCGCTGGTCCGTGTTGACGGTGTGCGTGGCGGTGCCGAAGCGGATGAGCGAGGCGGACGCGACGGACGAGTCGGTCTCGATGGCGACGGTGCGGCCGGACAGGGTGGCGGAGCGGATGACGGGGCGCACGGCGGGCTGGCCATCCTTGGTGAGCAGGTACTGCGGCGTGAAGACCTGGCCGTCAAAGTGGTTGGTGTTGCAGTCGCCGCAGAGGCCGCCGCCGGCGCTGAGCACAGTGGCGTCGGGCAGCAGGAGCGCGACGCTGTGGTAGACGCGGACGATGGAGTTGGGCTGCTGCTTGTAGAAGGCGTCGGCGACGGGGTCGTACAGCTCGGGGGTCAGCTGGGGGGTCTCGTCGGAGAAGGGCACGGCGTAGCTCTGGCCGCCAGTAATAAAAACGGTGCCGTCGGGCAGGACGGCCGAGGTGTGGAAGGCGCGCGGGCTCCAGAGGCCGTTGGAGGCGAAGCGCACGTCGGCGGGCTTGCCGGGGTCCCCGATGGTGATGAGGTGGGCGGCGGCGGAGGCCTGGCTGTTCTGGTACGAGGGCGAGCCGCCAAAGGAGAGGATGCGGCCGGCTCGGGCGTCGAACATGACGGCGTTGCCGTTCATGGCGTCGGGGTCGGTGCCGCGGTCGGAGCGGCGGTCGCCGGCGGGGGCGACGCTGCC